GTAGTATTAAACCCGATCTTGATTAAAGTGCAGCAAACTTTTCTCACAGATCAAAACTCACAAACAAAACTATCCAAGCAGATCTTTGTTACAGAGTAACTTTTACTAGCCAATAAATTTAAACACAAGTTTGTCAAACTTTGCACCATTTTCGTAAACAGCAGCACATCAAGTGTGCATTTCCTGTACAAATTCCTAAAGCACAGTTGGTCCCGAGGTGACCGTGTTTACCATCAATATCAAATCTTTGTCCCTCCATTTGAATCTCAAATTATTTTAGTGAAAACCTTGACTGTAAAACAGAGAATTATATCCAAATTTATTACAAACACTTACAAAGCTTTTCATGAGATGTATAAATTTATAGAGTTAAAAGCCAATAGGCAAATCTGCAAATAACAATGTCTCTTTATGTGAGTATGAATGTCACTATTTTGGCTTCGAAATTTTGCAAATCGGAAAATTTTGCTTGAGTTACTGACAATGCAAACATTCAGAAGATGAGTTTCTAGTTTTGTTATCCTTAATTTCAGAAAATTTCAACAACTTGCAGTTTACCAACATAGACTATTAAGCCAATATTGGCATTCCATTTCTTTTGATTTTAGAGAAGACAATTCTCATCACACTACAATCTATCTAGCATCACAAAACAACAGGCAATACAGCAATAATCCTGTTCGACTCATTATTTTTCCTTTAAACATAAAACAGTTGAACAGTATTTTTATTTTTTATCCAAAAACTTCTGTTCCCTTCAGAGTTTGGATATCGCAATAACAACGTCTCTTTATGGAGTATGAATGCACATTTGGCTGAAATCGGAGCAATGTGAAAATTTCTTCCTCTAGGACCAAAAAATAAGTTTGTGTATGTACATTTCTTAGATCTAGTGTTGTATCCTTAATTTCAGAAATTTCAACAATTGCAGTTTACCAACATGAATATTAAGAAATATTGCTTCCATTTCTTTGATTTTAGAGAGACAGTTCTCATCACACACAATGATCTAGCATCACAAAAAACAGCAATACAGCAATAATCCTGTTCGACTCATTATTTTCTTTAACATAAACAGTTGAACATATTTTTATTTTTTATCCAAAAACTTCTGTTCCACTTCAGAGTTTGGATAATCTTTACTCTACGGTTCCGAATCGTTGATTTTTTATGCTAAGATCGACACCAATTTCGAGATGGTGCAAATCCTTTTTCACTCCAGCATCAGCACCACAAAGGATCTGCACCAATTTCAAGATGGTGCCAATCCTTCCACCCCCTACAGAAAATCAAAACAAGAAATCAAACACTTATACTAACTCTGTGTAATTTACCCATTGGCCTATTTTAACTTAAAAAAAAACCAGAGAATTGCACAAACTAGGCATTGCTCACTAATTTAACTTTATCCATGTACACATCAACCTATTTCTTAAAAAAAAATCAGACAATTGCACAAACTAGGCATTACGAACTAATTTCATTTTCTCCATGTACGCTTCGATCTATTTTCACTTAAACAAAATCAGAAAGCTAAAACAAAGTTAAAACTATCACGTTAACCAGAAAAAAATTCGCCACTGTCTTAACACAAACATGAACAAATAACCAAAAATACACAAACATAGAGAGTAATAAATAACCAAAATACATATTTCCTAGCAAAAAAACATTAAACAACAAATCTTTCAACAAAATTTAATACACAGACACCAATAACTAAATAAAACATCAATTCTTTCACATACCTTTTCTTCATGTGCATACGTTAACGCCTCCCACCAGCATCTCGTCCATGTAAGCAATTCAATTAAATATCTGGTCATTTCGGCTCATCCACTGATGATAGTGGATAAATACGCATAATAGCATCCAAGAAAGCCATAAATCTGTTCTTTCTATTTCTCCTTCCAGCAGTCAGAAATTATAGTCGTAACCGAAAGAATATACTCATTTATAACACCAAGGAAACTAACAAGTACCACTTTCATAAAACAATTACACATGTGCAACGAAACACAGCAATTCAAAATCTGCAGTCCATTCCAAAGGGTTACTATTACAAAAAATAGACAAAATCTCAACTTATCACAACACATTTGGCGATACTTACAATTTTCCCGAAGAGTAGTTTTGCTAAGATTATCAACATTAGGGTTACCAAAAAACCTACTTTAAGCAGCGGGCTTCCAGATTTCACAAACAATCAATATCACTTGATTTTTTCAGACAAAAACCAAGCGGAACCATACAGTAAATTTCAACCCAGAGTTTTATGAAAATGAATATAATTACACACTAGAAACTGCTGAAAACAATTGATATCCCCCTGGTTTCGTGGAAAACTCGCCAAGAAATCTAATAAACAGGCTTTGTCAGACAGGTCTCAAAAAGTAAAGTTGTTGCCGATGCAAGCATCAAATAATCATAAATGTATTGAAACTTTTTCTTACTATTTGATCCCCCAAAACATCTGCTCTGTGTTTAAAAGATTTAGCTATAAACTTGCCATTACCTAAGCATCATCCATCTGGAAATCATCAAAAACAGATAAATCACACATTGCCACAATATCCTGATTAGCAATATAAAGCTACAAATCAGAAACAAAAGAAACAACCACAACAGAAAAACAAAAGAAAAAATTTCGAAAAAGAAATAAGTTAAATAAGTATAAAATATGCTATTAATATTCTAATGAACTTCTGTGACTTTAAAATACACAAAACAAAAACTTCATTAAAGTAAAAATATTTTTCATTTTTAATTAATGCAAATAATTAACATGAGCTGTCTTCATGCTAATACTGATGCCTGCCGGTGTTTTCTAGAACATAAATTCTATAAAAATGTATGAATAAGATTTCCATTTTGAAAAAAAAAATATATTGATCAATACTTTTCACAATAACCTGTAGAGAAATGCTCACTTAATCTGTTAACATCAGAAAACTTTTTCTAAGCTGATATTCTTAGTTACATGCAAACATTTCCCTCTTCAATTTGTGTACAGCTTCTGAATATGATCTCTAACTTTCTCTGTCAATTCTTGTCATATGGTAGTCATACTCATGTTTTAGTTTTTAAAATGAGCACAAAATCTTTCTAAATATAACTATAGGGACTAGACGAGCATACAAAAAGTCGTATTTCATTAATTTTTACAACAGTGATTTCTTTAAATTCAAAAATGCCAAAACATCAAAATTTGCACCATTTAAAACATTTTTGTTAATATATGTCTATGACCAATGCTTGAGAAAATACAAGCCAGGTAAGGACTTTTGTGAACACAGTGCATTATTATGTATGTATTAAGCAAGTTTTTCTAGTGCTAATATTACCAGAAGAGAAAGATGACAGTGCAGTATTCATCAGCAAAATTTTGAGGTTCCTCCCTCCAAAAAGCTGCAAGTTTATGGCATGAATTTATGTGTAAATATTATTCTCATATGACAAATCATTTATATTTTATGAATTTAAAAAGTCTAATAACTTTTGGAATTATGCTGTGCTTTGCTTTAGTTACTGAAATAAAAGCAGTTAATTTCTTTTGGTTAGATTAAATAACCGACTCACTGTAGAATATCCAATTAAGTGAGAGGTATGATTAACAAATGAAGTAGAACATAATACTGTGATACAACTTTCAAGTATTTAAATGTGAAGGAAGGTCAGTAAATTCAAACTGGAACAAGATATATTTCAAAATAACATGGAGAACTTTCCATGCATGCTAATAGGTGACAGATCCATCCTAGTTCATGATATTCATTTTGTTACTAAGTGACAATGAATGACAATGGAACTCTGTGACTGTACAAGACAAGAGCATCAGGCTGTTATCCTTTTTTTGGGTGAGGGGGCTTAAAAGATTTTGTGCAAAAAATAATCATAAGGGAATGATTTCTATTTATGGAAAACACAGTTTGTTGCATAACACCATGAATAAGTGGGTCAAAAAATTTTCTCAAGGCTGCTCCGAAGGTTGCGATGAAAACCAATACTGGCATCTGTTCAGAATGAGACAGGCTCAACAGCACAGGAAAACGAGGAATTGAAATGAAAAATGCACTGTACACTACAAGAACAGTAGCAGTACCTTGACTCTTTCTTCCAATATAAATGGTGCTTTGTCCAAACACACTTCAAGATGCAAGTGTGAAAGAATGAGCCGTCTGTCATGCGCTTTATTTATATATACCAACAAAACAGACTGTTATCCACACACAAGCTTCAGATGTTTTAATTGATCAATAACAGTTCCCATGAAATTCTCTCTCTCGACTACTTTATAAAAAAGCATACTAAAAAAAAAAAATCGGCAACATTTTAAATAAAGCATTGCTGAGAAAATTGCTCCACACGAATGGGAAATCAGTTGCAGTTTTACAAGTTTCATCATATCAAAGCCCTACGAATGTGACAGTGCTAAGATTCTCGTGCAGTGCCCCAAGGAAACTTTTGAGTTTGGCGAATTAAGGATTCAAAGGTCATTGGTTAAATCGCCTGTAAATGCCAGGGCAGCAAATGGTGGATTCTACAAGTGCAATCAGAAAACAGTATTAAGAGTCCTCAGGATATTGCAAGGAATTCAAGAGATTCGCACTGTGAAAAGTTGATCATGGACTCTAAACATTTTTTGAACAGAAACATATCTTTTTGTCACAGAGCTAATACCCATAACTAGCAAATATGGACAACAGACAATCTCTGTATAAACACACAAAAGCCATCAAGCTTCCCATGAACAGCATTCATTCTTGCAAATTCAGAGTAAGCAGCCAGAATCAAGCATAACTATTCTCATTCTAACAGAATTAAAATTCATTTCAACTTCGATTCTGCTGCCCTTGATATATATGCTTTTTTATACAAGAAAACTTAAAATTTCTACCTACTATTTGTGTGCTCACAGAAAGTTAAAAGAAAATGTGAAATTTTTGCTTAAATGTATAAATACAATTAAATGCTTTGCAGAGAAACCTGATAAATATTACCTAGGGGTGTTCTTTTACTGTCATAATTCATCTCTTTCATCACTTCTTCCATGAGTTTCTTATCACAAATCAAATTCAGAAGAGACTGAAAAAAAAATTATCTGTAATTTTCAAACTCATACATACCATACATTTGAGGTACAGTACATACACATTCACAAGTAACACATACATAAAATAATCATATATAAAACCTTTATGAAAAATTAATGTTAAAACAAATATAAAAAATAAATATATGAAAATTTTTACCTGCAATTTGGGATCCAGTTTTGATTGAGTTGCTGTTCTAGGAACTGTAATCTAAATCGTAAAAGCATAAATTAGCCAGAGATCTTATATCTTCCCCCTCTCATTTCACACATTTATGGCTTAATATTGCAAACTTTTATTGGCAAAAATTATTATAAAACAAAATTTTTAAGACATGTGGAAATGCAGTTAATTTTTTAAAATAATTTTCACACAAACATAACTTGCCATCTGCTGCAAGCATGTATTCACTCTTTAAAATTAGCAAGTACAGATGGCACATTTTAAGTGGTTATCAAATCAAAAGTTTTCCAAAAATCTTTTTAATTTATAAGCGTGTCACTGATGAAGCAGACATGAAGAAAATTCCAGCTCTTATGCTGTGAAATAAAAACATACAAATTTAAATTAATTTACTCACTTTTGTAACTATTTTCGCCATAATTAAATTCAGTCTCGCAGATCTGGTTTTCTTATCAGTAAGGGCCTACCAATGGCCAAGATGTATACATGCTAAACATTGGTAATTTGCCGCGGGTTCATATCCCAGTAAAAAGGCTAACTGCATGGACATTTTTGGAATTTTTCTCCTGTATAATACAGATACAAGCCAATTTTTTCTCAAAAGTTCTCTACAAAGGCATCCTTCTCCTTAAATAGTCCATCTCCTGAAGTAGTTTTGTCTTAATAAATTAATCACAGTGTATTATTATTTATTAATATTACACTGTGTAGTCTATATGTATTTCTGCAGTTCCAATTTTTTCTGCAATTTTAACATGATGACTTGGATACTTTTGTAATTCTGAAGTACCATGATCACTCACAAAAATATTTACATGTTCTCATGCAAACAATTTCTTTTGCTGTGTTAAAAGAATTCCATTTGATTGATTGCATAAGGCCTTACATTGCTCGTTTTTCCATTAGAACTATTATTTTGCATTTCATATCAATTTTATTGTAAAAAAAAAGTAGATGCAATTATGATTCAGTGACATTTTTAATTACTATACCTGTTTCAGTTTCAAAAGTACAGGTTTTTCCCAGTTTACAAAATTAAAGTGTTTATGTGAAACATATTACAAACCAAAATATAGTAAAGGAAAGAAATAGAAATGGAAATGGCTTTGACCATTCCCAGATCTTCAAACTATATATATATATATATTCAAATGGTGGGCACTTGTCTATAAAGGCATTGACCACTAAGGCCAGAAGCGGTGACCATTTTATTGTGAAGGCACATAATAGGTGGCCACCATTACCTTCTGCAAAGGGACAGACAATTTTTACATCCATGCCTTCTCCGGGATTCGAACCCGGGCCCTTTGGTATTGCGATCAGGCTCCCCTAACTAATTATTAAATAAATATCTCAAAACAGCAGTATAAAAATAATGAAATGGTAGATACATAGATAATATAAAAATAATTATGTAGCTTAAGGTTTCAAAAATAAAAAACAGCATACTAGAAATCAAAGGTAATGGCAACGACAATCATATATTGGCTATCAGAGGCTCAGTAGTAGGAAATATAGCACTAATGTTCTAGAACAAAGAGGGCAAAGATAATTTATTAATATTTTAAGAATATTTGGTATTTATTAGATTACTACGTCTAAAATTTCTATGCCCTTTCTATGTGTGAAAGCAAATTTCAGCTTTCGGTTGGAGTAAGATGCTCAAATCAGGACCATTATTTTCAGCCACAATGCAATTCTTGACAAGCAAAATTTCTTGGCAACACTACCTCTAATCCACATGCTGTATCATAATTATTCATGCTTTTTCAGATTACTTTTGCCAACCTATGACACTCAAAAATCAGGAGACTTTTTTTTAAGAAATCAAGAGATTTTTCACAATGTTAAAAAGACTTTTGAAATGATAAAAATATAGTTTTTAATAATGAATTAACTTTAAATTACTAATTCTTAAAGCCAAGCAACACAAAAATACCTTCACATAAAACATTTTTATTACTTGCATCGTTTTAAAAAAAAAAAAAAAAAAAAAAAAAAGACACTTAATCAGTTTTCGTACAAATGTTATGACATGGCAGATTTACTTTCATTAAGAAGAAACTTCAAATTTTTTTCATAGGAATTGCCACGCAGCCTGCTTTCAAATAAAAGTTTTTCTAATGTGTCATCACTAATATAGATCTAAATTTAATCCGCGTCTTCGCAACAACACTGAAAATCCTCTCACACTCTGCATTACTATGGGGAACTGTCAAGATGGCCAACATAATTCTAGACAGTTCACTATATATTTTAAATTCCATCACACCTTTCAGTTTTTCAATTAAACTCACTGGGTGTCATCCTAAACTGATTTTATAACTTCATCCAAGTTTTTCTAATTGTAACTGAAAATTGTGACTGCAGTATTATCAGTGGCAACATCAATATCATCATCTTTCATGACTAAATGAAGTAACACAAGAAATCTGCTCAATCAATCAAATCTCTGGATACGTATGCTCTCGCTCACAAAGCAGAAATTCTCATCTGATTCGCAAGGTTTTGTTTTAGATATAATCTAGAGAAAATTCAATTGCTTTCAGATGCCCACCCCCCCCCTTTTTTTGTTCATATAATGAAGTATTAAGCCAAGTTCCATAAAAATCATGAGAAATTTTAAGAATAAGAAAAAGTGAGAAGAAATATATTGTAAATCGGGTTGGCGGAAGAGCGGTCGAAAATCTGGAGAGTTGGCAACTCTGCTATTATAAGTATTCACTCAGGTCTTTCATAAAGAGAAGGTTTGTAGAGTAAAGAATAAATGCATATCAAAATTTACGTTTTTCGTGAAATCAAAGTCATATTTACCAGGATGGTAAATAACTGCTGCAGATGAAAAAGATTTATATCAGTACCATACTATCATAGCAATTACAGACATGTCACTTATTCTTTCCTTCAAACATTTACCCAAAATAAAAATAAAATAAAAATAAAATAAAAAAGACATGTCTAATGTTTTTAAACCTATATCAATATCAACAACTACCTTCTGTGTATTGTTGCTGTTCTAATGGTTCCAATCATATATACCAAAATCTGCTCAAATGTCCTCCATTTAATACAACCTTTAAACAGTTGAGATTTCAAATATTTTAAAGGAAAATATTCTGCCCTCTTCCCACCCATACTAAATATTTTTATACTTTTCACCAGATATTCTCATATACTCATCACAGACTAGTTTTTCATTTGAAATAATTTCCTTGTTCATATTGTTTATGGAAAAAAAAAAAAAAAAAACCATATATATGGTACATCCAAAAAAGTTTCAGTCTACATTTCAGTATATGTTAGGAGCAACAAAATGGCTCCAAATTATGAAAATTCCCTAGTAAGTCAGCTTCGGAATGCCCTCAGCACAATTTTAATTTTGAACATGTTTGCTGACAGATCTTGACACTAGTATTTGTATCCATTAAAATCATTATCAAAAAATCCTTCCAGATAAGCATTCTTTCATGACCCAAACTTATGATATTTGGTATCAGAAAATTAATTGGAATCCAAAAATGTCTCAAATAACTTTTGAAGATATATTTCATTTTTCTGAATTTGTAAAAAATTATTTAGTTCAGAAATATAAGTTTTGTGACAACAGATATATGTATTTTACTCTGCAAGTCTTCCTGAATACTTGCACTATCCAATAAATGATTAAAAAATAAAATTTAATTCTTGAAATCTTATAAAACACCAATACAAGAAAGAGTATTCTATTTTTTAAAATGCTAAACTCATCTGTGTTGAACAAAATAATACCTAATATGATCAACGGCAGTTTATACATGATGCAATTCACAAACAGTGTCATTCCATGGCTAGTAAAAAAAATTAAATATTTATATTCAATGACACAAAAAGCAAATTTCTGTGTTCAAAGACATATCAAGTAACCAGGCTAGAAGAGCAATAATTTGAAATTTGATTCCAGTTTAAGATGAATAACAGTTCTTGCAGATAAGATAATAAGCTAAATATAGCTCAAGGAAAACAAATGAAATGTTCTTTAGTTACACAAAAAACATCAGAGGTCATAAAATCATCACTAACACAGCAAAGTCTAAAACAGTATCACCAAGTAGTAGACTCAGTAACACAACAATGTGTCACAGACTAATAAGGGAAGCTATCACGTCTCCCAATGAGAAACAAACTTTCAGCGGTGCACAAGCACACAAATAATGCAATAGTATGACATGTGGCAGTTTGCAATTGCCTACTACCCATCAAAAAATGGTGGATAGTTAGGCACATGCTTGCAGAATCTGCAACCATACAACTGGCAAACATAATGTATTCATAAGTTCTGAGGTCATTATATGGCTGATGCTTTGTGTTATGAGTGCCGCTCGACATTCTTCCTTTTTACTATAACTGCTTAGACAGGTTTAATTTTCTATGCTTAATAAATAATTTTCCTATTTCTTTCTTACTACTATGCAGGGGTGGCTAACTTCTATTCCTATAAATGACAATTTAAGATGCATGTTGGCATTGCAGACAGTATAGTACATTTTATTCAGCACATTTTCAAATGAATTCAAGTTACTTCAAGACAGCAGCCACATTTTTTTTAAATTATGTACAAACAAAAGAACCCAAAGATCATATATAAGATAACACAGATGCATATAGCAAGTAGTCTGCACTAAAAATAAATAAATAAATAAATAAAATTTAAAAAATGATAAATTTTTGTTTAATTTACAATGAGCTACAGAAATGACTTCATTCATAGGTCACATGTAGCCTGCAACTGACCATTACTGTTATACACTACATTTAACAATAGTTTATACATACTTATCCAATTAAACATTATGTCAAGAATTTGCCCTAGAACATTAACTAAACTCTGAACATATGAAAATTGAAATTTTGAAATGTTCAATTTTGAAGAAAATGGCAATTTTTCAACAAATGTTTCATTTCACTTAATCAGAAAATGAAATGCTGTTAAACTATTAAAAATATTTTGATTTAAATGTAATTTGCATCAAAAAATAATAACATGATTA